TTCATTCATTCATTCATTCATTCATTCATTCATTCATTCATTCATTCATTCATTCATTCATTCATTCATTCATTCATTCATTCATTCATTCATTCATTCATTCATTCATTCATTCATTCATTCATTCATTCATTCATTCATTCATTCATTCATTCATTCATTCATTCATTCATTCATTCATTCATTCATTTATTCATTCATTCATTTATTTATTTATTTATTTATTTATTTATTTATTTATTTATTTATTTATTTATTTATTTATTTATTTATTTATTTATTTATTTATTTATTCATTCATTTATTTATTTATTTATTTATTTATTTATTTATTTATTTATTTATTTATTTATTTATTTATTTATTTATTTATTTATTTATTTATTTATTTATTTATTTATTTATTTATTTATTTATTTATTTATTTATTTATTTATTTATTTATTTATTTATTTATTTATTTATTTATTTATTTATTTATTTATTTATTTATTTATTTATTTATTTATTTATTTATTTATTTATTTATTTATTTATTTATTTATTTATTTATTTATTTATTTATTTATTTATTTATTTATTTATTTATTTATTTATTTATTTATTTATTTATTTATTTATTTATTTATTTATTTATTTATTTATTTATTTATTTATTTATTTATTTATTTATTTATTTATTTATTTATTTATTTATTTATTTATTTATTTATTTATTTATTTATTTATTTATTTATTTATTTATTTATTTATTTATTTATTTATTTATTTATTTATTTATTTATTTATTTATTTATTTATTTATTTATTTATTTATTTATTTATTTATTTATTTATTTATTTATTTATTTATTTATTTATTTATTTATTTATTTATTTATTTATTTATTTATTTATTTATTTATTTATTTATTTATTTATTTATTTATTTATTTATTTATTTATTTATTTATTTATTTATTTATTTATTTATTTATTTATTTATTTATTTATTTATTTATTTATTTATTTATTTATTTATTTATTTATTTATTTATTTATTTATTTATTTATTTATTTATTTATTTATTTATTTATTTATTTATTTATTTATTTATTTATTTATTTATTTATTTATTTATTTATTTATTTATTTATTTATTTATTTATTTATTTATTTATTTATTTATTTATTTATTTATTTATTTATTTATTTATTTATTTATTTATTTATTTATTTATTTATTTATTTATTTATTTATTTATTTATTTATTTATTTATTTATTTATTTATTTATTTATTTATTTATTTATTTATTTATTTATTTATTTATTTATTTATTTATTTATTTATTTATTTATTTATTTATTTATTTATTTATTTATTTATTTATTTATTTATTTATTTATTTATTTATTTATTTATTTATTTATTTATTTATTTATTTATTTATTTATTTATTTATTTATTTATTTATTTATTTATTTATTTATTTATTTATTTATTTATTTATTTATTTATTTATTTATTTATTTATTTATTTATTTATTTATTTATTTATTTATTTATTTATTTATTTATTTATTTATTTATTTATTTATTTATTTATTTATTTATTTATTTATTTATTTATTTATTTATTTATTTATTTATTTATTTATTTATTTATTTATTTATTTATTTATTTATTTATTTATTTATTTATTTATTTATTTATTTATTTATTTATTTATTTATTTATTTATTTATTTATTTATTTATTTATTTATTTATTTATTTATTTATTTATTTATTTATTTATTTATTTATTTATTTATTTATTTATTTATTTATTTATTTATTTATTTATTTATTTATTTATTTATTTATTTATTTATTTATTTATTTATTTATTTATTTATTTATTTATTTATTTATTTATTTATTTATTTATTTATTTATTTATTTATTTATTTATTTATTTATTTATTTATTTATTTATTTATTTATTTATTTATTTATTTATTTATTTATTTATTTATTTATTTATTTATTTATTTATTTATTTATTTATTTATTTATTTATTTATTTATTTATTTATTTATTTATTTATTTATTTATTTATTTATTTATTTATTTATTTATTTATTTATTTATTTATTTATTTATTTATTTATTTATTTATTTATTTATTTATTTATTTATTTATTTATTTATTTATTTATTTATTTATTTATTTATTTATTTATTTATTTATTTATTTATTTATTTATTTATTTATTTATTTATTTATTTATTTATTTATTTATTTATTTATTTATTTATTTATTTATTTATTTATTTATTTATTTATTTATTTATTTATTTATTTATTTATTTATTTATTTATTTATTTATTTATTTATTTATTTATTTATTTATTTATTTATTTATTTATTTATTTATTTATTTATTTATTTATTTATTTATTTATTTATTTATTTATTTATTTATTTATTTATTTATTTATTTATTTATTTATTTATTTATTTATTTATTTA